CAAGTGAGAAGCAAACACAAAGAAATCAACTCTCACTGACATGGCTCCTAACTGAGCAGAAAGACACTCCCGACATTCCCCTTGTACACCAAAGCCTGGGGCCCAGGCTTCTAGTTTACGGTGCTGGAGTGCACAGAGGAGTGGCAGGGGATGGGCTAGAGTGCCATGGGGGGAGCCCTGAGCTTAGGGGGCTGGATCCAGGCAAGCTGGGGGCTGCATCCAGCTCTTGGGACTTCGGTTCCCCACCCCTGACATATAACATCTCTAATGTGTTTTCCATGAGTACTGCTATGTAGGTGCCCTGTATATGGCTTCTGAAGGTTTGGCACACTAGCCGAACTGCCCTGAATTCTTGCACATTGATGTATAGGGCTAGTTCCACATGTGATCACAGGCCTTACATGCTCATCTCATTCAGGTTTGCCCCCAACCTATACTATGGCAGTGGTAATCAGCGCCATTGTGGGTTGTGATTTGGGAAAGGGAACTCCTGCACAACTATTAGAGAATGGTTAGAAGGAGAGTCACAACAGTATCCAGTGAATCATGGCTAAGCTTGTGCACCTGCACTATATCTAGAGGGGTCTGAGGAACAGCCTGGCATGCTTGACTACATATGTGCATGTCACCATGTGTTGAGTCTCATGCAATTCTGTGCTGTTCGGGACATGGCAGAGGGTTTCGATGATGCCTTTTAGGACCTGGTACCAGGCGTAAGGAAAGGAGGCTCTGGCCATTGCGGAATCCGAGGGTGCCTGCAAATTCTATTCTTTGTGTAAGCATCAAAGTGGATTTAGGTATACTGGAAATAAGACTCAAGAATATGGTGTGGCAGGGTCACATGGTCCTTAGCCTGTTCTCATGAGTTGGCCTTGATGAGCCAATTATCCAGGTACATAAACACCTGCACCTGTTTGTGCAGACAGGCTGCCATCTCCATGCATTTTGTTAATACCCGGAGGGTTATTGAGAGGCTAAAGGAGTACACTGAATTGTTAGGTCTTGTTCCCTACCACAATGCAGAGACACTTTTGGTGGCCTGGAATGATGGATATATGAAAGTATGTATCTTTCATGTCGAGGGCCAGGAATGATGGAAGCCGGGGAGCCCATCTGGAATCTCATCCTCTTTTATGAAGTAACTGAGGTCTCGGAGGTCTAGAATCTGGTGCATCCCACCTTCAGCCATGGGAATAAGGAAGTACTAGGAGTAAAAACTCCTACCTCACAAAACTCATGAAGAAACTCCTCTAGAGTGGGGAGTGATTATACCTTCTGTAGTACTAGAAGGGTTCCTGAGGAAGGATGAGGAAGGAGTTGGGATAATGGGAGGGCACAACTGCATAGTATCCCAATTCTACTGTGCTCAGAACCCAATGACTAGAAGAAATCTGGGTCCAGGCATAGTAGAATCAGGGTAGTTGGTTCACGAATGGGTAAGAATCAAGGAAAGTGACTGGTGCTTCATCCTTGGGATCACCTTCAAAAATTGGAATCTGAGCCCTGTGTCAATTTTGTGGAGCCCTGCCCATGGCCATTCCTCCCTCTATGCCTACTGGTATCCTTTCTGGATGGGCCAGCATAAAACCAGGATGTGCGCTGGGAATTAAAACTGGGACTTCTCTTGGGTACAGGTGTGTGAATCCCCACAGACTTGAGTGTAGCCCTTGAAATCCTTCAAGCTGTGTAAGCAAGAGTCTGTATTTGCCACAAACAGTTCTGCACAGTCAAAGGATAGGTCTTGCGTTGTATGCTGGACCTCTCGTGGGATGACAGACAATTGTAGCCATGCATTGCAGTGCATCACAGTGCTGGTGGCCATAGTGTGGGCTCTGGAATCTGCAGAGCCAAGAACTGCTTAGAGGGTGCTCCCGGAAACGATCCTGCTCTTCTCAGCAGTGCACCAAACTCCTTTTAGGAGTCAGCTGGGAGCAGCTCCTGAAATTTAGAGAAGGCACTCCACATATTAAACACACAGCAGCTGCACAGCACCTGCTGGCTCAATACGTATATCTGAAGTCACCCGCATGGAGTAGACCCTGCAGCCAAATAGGTCTGGTTTCTTGGCTTCCTTAGATTTTGGAGATGACCCTGGCTGACCCTGGCACTCCTTGTGGTTGGTTATATCCACCATGAGCGTCTCTGGTTGAAGATAGGCGAACAGATGTTCATAGCCCACTTGGGGCACAAATATCTCTTCTCCACCCCTTCAATGATGAAGACTGCCATAGCACCTTCATGGTGTTACTAATCATTTTGATGAGCAGCAAGACCACTCTAGAGGGTCCCTCAGGTGAGAGGATGTCAACCATTGGGTTTGCTTCCTCAACCTTCTTGGCCTGTAGGTTTAAGTTGTGTGCCACTCTATGAAGGAAGTCCTGATGGCCCTTCATGTCCATGACCAGCAAGAAAGTGGAGGAAGCCTACCTCATTCAGAGATGAGGAAAATGACTCCCTGGGTATTGGGTCTTATTGGTCCTTCAGCTCCTTCAAGCTCAACTCTAGGTCTCTGGATGAGTGTTTACACGCTATGTGTGTGCACTGCTTGGGGTACAGATAGAGGTCCTGTGATCACTGGAACTAGTCTCATGTCTGCCACTCACACAGAGATGCTGGGGTGGTATGTGATTCTGAAGTTACAGGTGTGTCACAAGGCACTGAGGCCACCAAAGTAGCTCTCGCACCCTGCCTGAGTCTGATGGTAAGCCAAAAGGATGCAAAAGGGCCACGGACTGGTCCCCTGCCACTGTGGTGGTCAAGAGATAATTGATGCTGATGGATCCCAGAAGCCACAGTGCTCAGAGCAGCGCCAGAAACCGTACAAGGAGTGAGAGCTATAGCTGCTCTAGAGACTGAAGACTCCCTCGAGTCTGAGGAGCATTGAGAGGCAGATCAAGGTAGTGCAGGACATGTTGGTTCTGGCAACTGGCACTGCGTGGCCAGTGACTTTTCCCAGTGGCGGACTGGGGCAAGCACTGCCACCACACTGTAAAAGTTGCAGGTTCCGGTGCCATTGATGTGGGTGCCACAGGTGCTGCCACGGTTGTTGCCAGTGCAGGTACTATGCACAGTGCTGCTGGTACAGCCTGCACCGGTGCCGTCTCTTGAGGATGATGCAGATGGGACTATGCCGTCAATTTAATGAGGTTTTGTGCCAAAATATGTCGGGTATGGAGAAGAGATTGATGTCCTCTTCCAAAACCTCCCTGATGGATGAGACAACCACCACTGGACTTGACAAGCTCCTTTGTAAAGCTTTAATCATTTTTGTTGCTCTTCTCTTGACCTTCTCCAACTTCTTCAATCATATCTGAAGACATCCAAGTGTTCAAATGGAGTTATGCAACATCAATGAATTAAAAAAAACCCAGGAGTTCTGTTTATGTTTTTGAGTGTTTTGATTCTGCTGATTCTACAGGAAGAGCACAGAATACCAGTGAAAAGTTTATATAGTAAACATTTTGTTCAATAATTAGAAGTTTCCTCTTGAAGTAATTAAATAAGGTTGGAAATGGTCTTACTGTTTCTGACACTGTATCTCTAACTTGCAGAGTTGCACATAAATGGCCTACTCCCGCTAGATCAATGGAAGCAGGACTGAGACTCAATGTTACCTGAACAGTAGCACCACTGGCAAGAAGATCCAAAATATTCCTCAATTTTAAAAAAAATTATTGTAAAATACAAACGAATGTTTCTCCATGACAAGAAATATTTCCCAAACAGTGAAATTAGATCACATCCTGAGACCAAAGTTGATTTTTTTCCAAATAAAGAGAAAAAAATAGAACTTGAATTACAATTCCTTACACTAAGGAAATTCAAATGAGAATGGCAATTTACAAGATGATGAAAACTCTATCAATGAGTATCAAGTATTGATTCTGCTATTAGCAACCCTGCTCTCTAAAGCAAAAGGCAGCTAAACAGAAGCTTCTTCTTGATCATGAAGTGCTTTTGCAGATGTTTCACTAGAGTTCAACACTAACCAATAAGAGATTCAGAAAGGCATATATTATTGGTGCAATCATACAGACAATGAAAAAGCTAGTCTCTCTGACAACATAGAAACTGATTTAAGAAAGACTTTTTACAGCTTCTGTATACGTTATTTAGAAGAAAACGGAATTCTCAAATGTCAATCCAAAATAAAACTCTCTACAGAGAAATTCAGAAATGTAAACAGACCTTTTGACTGAAAAACGTGAATGGTTGTTTAAGCTCTGTGTTTAAAGGGAGCAACATTTGACACAGTATATAAGAAAAATAGATAACAGAATATAAGAAAAATAGAAAAAAAGTCATATCCTATGGTTGTGACTAAACGGCAGACTCAGTAGGATTGAAGGGGACCTTACCTAACTTCTTCCTCATCCCCTAGTTACAGAAATATTTTTCCAAGGATCACTAATAACTTTACACTCATAACTCTTCTGTAAGGTAAATATGAAATTCCTTACTTTATGGAAGAAAAAAATCCAGGCTAAGTGATTTGCTCAACTTTGTGGCACAGCTGAGAACAGAATAAAGTTCTGCTAACCCCTAGTCCCAAGATTTAACTACTAGACCACATTTCCCCTTATCCAGTCTGCGTTCTAACACTGTAGGGCTTTACACTGGTAAAGCCAGTGTACATTGCTCCATTAACTTCAAGGGAGCAATGTAATAGTGAATTAAGCACACAGTAGTACAAACCTTATTATTCTTACACTTGTCCTAAGAATTGACTATCAACTCTCAAGTTGAAAATCTCCTGTGATGCCGACTGCATAAACTCTTATTTTGACAGATGCAAAAATTTTCTGCTATTTAAATTAAATGTTCTTTGATGCAGTTTAATTATACTTGTTTTCTGCTCCTTTTGACGGATGAAATTAAACTGCTTCCTTCCTCTACAACTTCCTTGTAAACTGTCAGATGAAAAAGCTTGTCTTTTTAAATTACATTTAATAAAAAATGTTTTAACTAAATAGAGCATCTCTCTTTCCCCAGCTTTTTACCTGAACTCTTGTCAATGAAGTCCATGGACTCTTCACTTGCACTACAATGACTGGAGGTTGCTTTTTTTTCTGCATCCTGTTCAACATCAGATCCGGTGTGAACTGAAGAGTTGGTACTCATTGGTGACCGTGGCATATCTGTTAAGGAAATCCTTCGACCAGTGTTGCTCAGCATAGATTTGCTCATTAGAATCTTGGGTGATGCTGTCATGTCGAAGTTCAGTTTGATTTTTTCTTGTTTGTCTGTCTTTGCAGTTCCAGCTGCTGGGTTTGCAGGGTCTAACAACATTTGGTATTGGTTGTTGGGAGTATATGGTGTCCGGAAAGGTGCGTAATTAAATACTCCAAACTTTCTACGAATATTATCAACATAAACCTCCATCTCTTGCATTGCACTGTTGAAGATGCTTTTAGTCTTTTTCACAGAAAAAGGAATTTCTTTAGACATGAGGTAGCAATTATTTATTGGAACCCAGGCCCTATAAACAAAACAGTAAAATAAAAAAGAAAGATAGAACATTAAATTCCATTAAAATATCAGTTAAGCCATGTGGAATTTAACACAGTTTAATTTAGTTTAATATCATAATATCCCAAGAAAAATATACAATGAATGCCTCTACTGAAAAATGTTGAATGACCTTACTTTAATCTTGCATAGTTAGTAGGGTTTTTTGGTAAATAGTTTGTCTTTTAGATTATTGCTAATCTTTTTTTATATATACATACTCAGAAACATAATCAGTGAAATGATACCTCACCTAGAAAATTTAGTTAAGTCTGTAAAAAGTTCCCCTAAACAATTCAAATCTGGGCTGGCTGGGGTTAGGGACAAAGTAGAAAAGCCTATCACAGTGTGTGTTTAAAAAAGTCTGTTTAGCACTTGTGGCATAAACATTCCCTATAATGCAAAACTGTATGCATACTATGTAGTAGGGATATAAGTGACTACTTGAGTAGCTGACTACCCAATCAGCTTACGCTAATCGGGGAGTGACTCACTACTCAACTACTTCCCCTCCTCTCCTGTATCCCCCTCACCTTGCTGCCTCTGTAATAAAAGACGATGCAGGGGGAAGAGGGGAAGTGGGCAGGAGGAAGAGCCGCAGCAGCCCTGGGAGCTGCCCCCGCTGCGGCTCTGCATTTAAAATGGAGTAAGGGCCCACAAGGCTCTAATTTAATTATTTCACAGTGATAGAGACTTCATAAATGCATGGCCTCATACAGCCCTATAAATTCATATTTTCAATTCTTGCTAAAGCCATTAATAGCGGTAGAGATGTAAAATCACATTTAATTCGTTAACCGGTCAAACATTAAGTTTAACTGGTTAACCAAATTAGATGGGGGAAGAGAGTCCCTCCACCACAGCTAGACTGGAGCACCCTCTGCCCACAGCATGCTGTGCAAGGTTTCTCCAGCACCCACCTGTTAACTGTAATCAGTAAGCCTCACCCACTAAGGATGAGGCTTACTGGTTAACCATTAACATGGGTAGCACTGTATCTTCTATCTAATAGAGCTTTAACAAATGAAATGAATTAATCAAACGCCCTCTGTAGCAAACTCACATTTCAAATGAGGATACTACACTTTACAACTTGTGTTTTTCATTCAAAATGATGTATTTATTTTTACATTGGCCAGAAAATGGAAATGACCACTAAAAGTCCTTTTTTCATTTCTAATATCCATGATTTTTCAGCCATACAAAATCATCATCTTAACTTACTAAGAAAATACATCTGAAAGACATCTGCTCATTTTAATGTGATAAAATGTTATTTTAAAAACCTTTAGACAGATGAGATAGATAAATACATCAGAGAACATTCAGGGTATTACCATGAAATATTCAAAGACAAGATAGTGTAAACGTCTAACAGTGGAGATTTATCACAACAATTTAGAAAGTACAGCCAATTCACATGTCTTTTGAGTGAATTCCATTCCCACCTGTCATGTTGGCCAAAGAAACGGGCATCGACTTGTCCATCTTTATCTCTCAGTGCTTTAGCAGGCCAGAATGGAAAGCCTTTGAGTTTAGCCCAGACCAAAGGGTGAGGATTGCTCTAGACAGAGGAAGATGCACAGCACACAATGAGAAAATATTGCAATATGTTATTTCTCAATTTCTGACAGAGTATTTTGCTGTATTTGTTATTTAGATTGCAACAAAGCACATAATGCACAAGGCACTTTCCAAACAAGAAGGAAGATACAATCACTGTCTGCAAGAGCTTATTACTCAATGATTATTTCCATGAATTAATCACTATTCTGCAAACTGTACATTATGACACAGCATTTAGGTTTATGTATTTCCCAACAATTAGAAAGTAGTGTTTACAATTAATAATTATAATTTTTAAAATCTAAAATGTCAACAAAATATAACGTATTTATGAGAAAACACAGTAAACTCATCAAAATAACGAAGTGTAAATTCTTTGAACACACTCAAAATGGATATGCTGATAACTTTCTTTTTTCCTTCCTCTGTCCTAACTGATTGTTGTACTCTAAGTATGACTATGGTCTTGCAAACTCTCTCATTTCCCCTGAAATCAAGAGAATACTGCATGCAAAAGGCTTGAAAGGTCAGGCTCTTTAGGTTTCTGCTTGAGAAGTTTTGTTTAGGTTATGCATACCTGGTGTGATATTAAAAATGTAATAATGAAAATATGTGCAAGCTACATTTTCCAACCTATGTGTGCAGAAATGCACATTTGTATATTAAACATCTTACTCTTCTTCCAAGCGCTACATATAAGCACAGATGACCCAAGGATAAGGACAAATTAAGAAGGTACATTTACTATAATTCCTAACTTCTGTTTTTATTTCCCAGAACATTTGGGCCCACTATGAAGACCCAGATCCAAAACCACTCACAGATTTAAAACAAGGGGCACAATAAATAATATTAAATGTGTGTAAATATGGTAACTTTTTTTTTTTTTTTTTTTTTTAAGGAAAGTGTTAAACTACAAAAATCTTTGACTTACACAAGGCTCACAAAACCAGTTATCTCGTTTTTGGCAAGCAGCTAAATAACATTCCGGACACACTTCGATTTCATTCATCTGCAACAAGAAAGTGAGCAGCTAGTGCAGAATTAAAAACAATCAAAACTTTGATTAAAACATTATTAGTCTATTCTGCCAAAGATCCTGTTATCATTAGGAAGAAAATCTGCAGTCACTAATCACTCTGGAGATCATTATACTTTTTGCCTAGTTATTATAACATGGCTTTGAGAAACACTTGCTCTTCCCCATATGTGGTTGTAGGCAACACCATATAGAACATTTTAAATGTGAAAGATACACTGCAGGATTCTGATGTGATATTATTCAGGACAGATCTATCAGCATGATTTAGCTCCATTTACTTCTTTTAAAACTAAAACTATGAAAAAACGAAGTAACTGTTAAAGTAAAATATAATACTTCCCTACCGATTATAGGTATACTCTATAGTTGATAAAATATATTGTTGTATCATAGATCACTCTTCAGATTATCCTTTTTCACCGTCTTGAGTCCCAGTGACAGAAATCAAATAAGAATGGCCATACTGGGTCAAACCAAAGGTCCATCTAGCCCAGTATACTGTCTGCCAACAGTGGCCAATATTGGATGCTCCAGAGGGAGGGAACACAAGTAATCATCATGTGATCCCTCTCCTGTCATCCATTTCTCAAATCTTAGTTTGAGAAAGAGAGGACATTTAATTTATAATCAGATATAAAACCTTATATTCCCCATGTGAAAGGGTATTTTAATAAACAAATGGAGAATTACCATGCACTTAAACGGTGTTATTCAGAATCATCAAATTTTCAGAACTTTTCTGTAAGAATTAGCAGTACTGATGGGATGACCAAGAGATATAGATATCATTGAGTTAAAACATACAAATGGTCAGATCACTAGTCAGTATGCAGCAACTGATATGCTTCAAATTTTGTTTACAACAGTCAGTTTTAACTTTCTAGAGCCAAATAAATACTCAGGCCTAAACTTTCAGAACTGCCACTACACTAACGCAACTGCAATTGACCATACACATCTTACTAGTCACTTACCATGCCTTTGTATCAGTCATAGTAACTGAACTAGAGATGTAATAGTAGAGTCGATTAACCAATAAGCAAAAGCTTATAGGTTAATGCTACAGACTATACGCATTCTCCCCACTACTTGCCAGTATATTTTTTAGCAGGCTGGCCAGCAGTCCTGGCTAGAAATGGGTCTGGGACCTACCTCTGATGTGGCTTTGCATTTAAAGTGTATTAGGAGCCAGGTGGGCAGGCAGTCCGGCTCAGTTCTGGCTTGCAGCAGGTGCGGGAGTGCAGACTCAACCTAGACAGGGGCTGCTGCCACCCCACAATACTATCTCTATCAGATGCAGCCAGTCTGCAAAGGGAGTTGGGTTTTAAACTGGCTCCCCTCACGGACCAGCTCCCAATTGGCACTTTGCACAGCTACCTCTGATACAGAGACAGCAGCGCAGAGTGGCAGGGGGCTCCTCAGGAGTGAGGCTGGAGCATACTGGCTGCTGGCTCCGCCCCCCGGGACTACAGAATAGTCGACTAACCGATAAGAATTCTTGACTATTCAATTAACCAATATTTAACATCCCTAAACAGAACTACACAAAAACACAGACATTCTGAAAATCTGTGCCTCTGACTTCAAATGTTTATTTAATGCAGGAGCCACATGCATTCTATTTTGCTGTCTATTTTCTATGACACCCAGAAAAGCTTGATTCATGTATTGTAAATATTCTAACAGAAGAAATTTGAGCACTGCCCTGCATACAACATCATGCAAACCATATCTCAGTGCAAGAAAGAATACAGCAAATTTATATTTTAAAAGACTGAAGCTATGATCAAGTAAAACTTTTTATATTTCACACATGAATATATGAAAACGTCCTTCATATCTTGATTTATACAGCCAGAAAAAATAAGTTAACTGGGGAACACGTACCTCATGTTCACAGATTTTGATTATGACTTTTGCTGTCTGTGTCAATTTGTGATTTCCTAAAGGGATTAAAAGGAAAGAGGATCAACTAAAATGACTGTTGTGCTAAAAACAGATTGAAATTTACATTTTCTGCTTAAATTCATGCATAACATGGTAATATTTATGTGAAAAGCTCTCTCAACACTCCCCCTCTCCCCTCTGCAGGCAGACTGCATTGAAGGGGATTCTGAGGGGAATCCCTCAGAATCATATTTACATTTGGAATTCTCTATTATCTGTGCCAGCATTTGCATGGAGGCTGTTAATTAATAGTGCAACTATACTGATGATGAGCTTCTTTTAACTTATACATGAAATACAAAGTTTCCTCAAATAAACATCATACAAAGAACTCCACATTCTTCATGCCACTGAACACCACATTTTAAGTTGGGACTGTTTTTTAAGGTGTGGCGAGATAATGAGTACAGACAATATTTGCTCCTATGTTTGCATATATACCAGTTTTAAAAAAATGTCTATTTATTTAGGCATATGATTTGTTAATAGGTAGATGTTTTCAGTGTTCACCAACTATGAATCTAGAAACTGCTCTACTACTACAGTCCTTTTTATACTTTTAGTTTCGTGGAAGCAACCACACACTTACCCCCATTGTAAATAATGCAATTGTGCAAAATCCATTTGGCATCAGCCAAAAATGCTTCAGTGCAACCATACATTTTCTTTTTAACATTCTGCAAAGAACAACATCAGAAGTATTTCAGGAAGCAGAATCATATCCCAAAGTAAAGAATAGCCCCTTATTTTAACTATGTTTCCTACCAACCACCTAATTAATAAATGATAGACCAGACAATTAATCATGTGGTTGTTACATATGCAAGAACTATTTTCAGAATTACCCCATGTAATTTTTACCTGCTCCAAAATTACATTAAAAATATAAAGAGGCATTCAGTAATTCTTTCAAATTAAAAAAAAATAAAATAAAAGGATGATTCCGGGGCACGATGTGCATATGGTATGCAGAAAATTCAGTCTCTGTTTTCCTCTACTCCCCCATTTTCACTTTGTATTACCTGCAATTACTGGATTAATGAATCAAGAGAATTTTAAAAGATAGGGGCCATGTTACAGCACACTTAATACAATAGAGTGATTCAAATTCCCTGGTCAACCATGGTATAAAGTGCAATTAAAGCAGAGAGAGATATGTGCTAAAGAATTCACCATATGCAGGGGGAAATATCTGCCAGCAGGAAATCACTGGAGGAAGGTTGACCACTCTCTGAGCTAGAAAATCACTTCATCCCACTCTCAGCAGGAGGGAGAGGGAAGGTGTTATGGTGAAGAAAGGCCATGGTGAAGCAAGCTCTAATTATACACTGGTATAAAAACCTTGAGAAATCTCACCTCTGTGGCATAAATTAAAGCTAACCTTCAGAAACTTTTACTTATGATGGACCCAACTGGCTGAGAATCAGGGGGACATAAATGATTTTCCTTAGCAATCTTCTTTCACCCCTGAGAATAAGATGAGCTCAGGTACAGTAAAGACCATGCATGAATATTTTCAAATTTACCCATAAATGTCCTAGGAACACGTATTAACACAAGTCATTACCAAAATACATATAAATAGTATACAAAAATCCCAACTAAAGTAACTTAGCTTTAAAGTAAAGCTTATTCACCTAGCTGTAAACCAACCTTTTCTAATGTACAAAGGTCCATTGGATGAAAGATATATTCTGCATAATCTGGGTGCTGATCCAGTGAAACTGGCTTTTGAAATGGCTCTGACGTATTAACACAAGTCATTACCAAAATACATATAAATAGTATACAAAAATCCCAACTAAAGTAACTTAGCTTTAAAGTAAAGCTTATTCACCTAGCTGTAAACCAACCTTTTCTAATGTACAAAGGTCCATTGGATGAAAGATATATTCTGCATAATCTGGGTGCTGATCCAGTGAAACTGGCTTTTGAAATGGCTCTGTCTGTTGAAATAAAAACCAAGCAAACCACATTACCAATACCAAACAACTTCACCAGCACAACATTTATTAATTCCCATTTTAAACCTACTTCCAACTGGAAGGTCTGAACAAACACCCGTTTTTGAAATGACAGATTGAACCTGTCTAGTCTGGCATGCTTAGTACACCTGCATGTCTTTGCTCTAGCTTACCCCCCTCATCCTCTGCGCTGCTGCCAATAGAAAGGCAGCAGGGTGGAGGTGGGTGTAGACAGATCTTGTAGGGAGCCTGCTTAAAGCTGGCTCCTCATGGGCACTGGCTCCTGCCTCCCACCCCGCTTGTTGCCTCTATCAGAAGCAGCAAGGGTGGCGTAATGCATGTCATCAACAGGATTAACAAATAAGACCAAGCTTATCAGTTAATCATGTAGTTGCCTACACGTGGACATCCCTAATTTTAAACCGGTCTTTAGAGGATTCCATCAGTAAGTGGTATACTGCTGGCACAGTACAAAATAGGGGGCATGGCTAGAACACCCTAGAAGTTTGGTATTCTCTGGCTGTTAAGTGTAGGTCTTTGGAGCGAAAGGCAGCCAAGCACAACCCTAAAGCTGCTCTGAGTTCTGTCAATGTCTAAATCATTCCCTGGCCCGACCCAGAATCACTTTCTGCTCCATACCCACCACCCCTCCCATCTCAACTTGTTCTGTAAATTTACAGGATCAAGCTAAACTCATAAAACAATTTTAAGCAAATATATATGCATGATCACACAATTGATCCGCTGGTTTAACTGAACAAGACAGCAAGACAGCATGAAACCATGCCCTCTGTAGAGACTACATTAAATTCTAAATTCATATTGCACATGTAAAGAAAAGTTGCGAACGAAACCAATACAAGTGGATACAGTTGTAGCCACTGAGCTGCAATGCCACAACTGAATGGCTAGAAAGGATTCCCTCCCTCTAGTACTGGAGAAACACTCAAGGACTTAATTTCGCTGCTTTAAAAAAAAAATTCTTTAATGGTATAGAAATTGATGGCTCAGGCCAGTGATTCTCAAATTTGAACCTGGGAACCAACATAAGAATGGCCATACTGAATCAGACCAAAGGTACATCCAGCCCAGTATCCTGTCTACTCACAGTGACCAATGCCAGGTGTCCCAGAGGGAGTGAATCGAACAGGTAATGATCAAGCCATCTCTCTCCTGCCATCCATCTCTACCCTCTGACAAACAGAAGCTAGGGACACACTCCTTACCCATCCTGGCTAATAGCCATTAATGGACTTAACCTCCATGAATTTATCTAGTTCTCTTTTAAACCCTGTTATAGTCCTAACCTTCACAACCTCCTCAGGCAAGGAGTTCTGCAGATTGACTATGTGCTGTGTGAAGAAGAACTTCCTTTTATTTGTTTTAAACCTGCTGCCCATTAATTTCATTTGGTGGCCACTAGTTCTATTATGGGAACAAGTAAATAACTTTTCATTATTCACTTTCTCCACAGCACTCATGATTTTATAGATATCTATGATATCCCCCCTTAGTTTCCTCTTTCCCAAGCTGAAAAGTCCTAGTCCCTTTTTCTCATATCAAGCGTTTGAGTGCCACCCCTTTATAAATTAAAAACACTTAATATTTAACTCTATTATAAATGCTGGAGGTGAAGTGGTGTTTGGAGTGGAGGCTGACAGCTCATGACCCCCAAGTAATAACCTCATGACCTCCTCAGGGGTCATGACCCCCAGTTTGAGAAACGCTGGCTTAGCCCCTGAATACACCAAGAAAATTTCTCTGTCACCTATCTTGAGTGGGAAAGCATTGAAGTCTATTTTCTTGTTTCAATATATCTATCTACTCTAAACATTGTTAAGTGGCTATGCTAATTCTTCAATTTATTACTAAATCTCAAAGTAACAGTGGGACAGTAGGATTGCTGAACTTAACTGAAACTCATGAGATCTAGGTTCTATATCCAGTTCTATTATAGACTTCTGGGTGACATGGGGACAGTCACTTGAGTACTCTGAGTCTCAGTTTCTCCATCTGTAAAATAATCTATAAAATGGGGCCCTAAGCCTTACACATAGCGTGAAGTTTTTGATCATTCAGACTTTACTGTGAATATCAAAGACTATAATAAATAATTAAGCAGAAGAACAACATTATCATACAAAGATGTGTTAACACTGATATCAGGAAATTTATAACATAAGAACAGCCATACTGGGTCAGACTAAATATCCATCTAGCCCAGTATCCTGTTTGCTGACAATGTACAACACCAGATGCCCCAAAGGGAGGGAACACAACCGGTAATCATCATGTGATCCCTCTCTGGTCACCCAGAAAAAAAGAAAAACAGAGGCTAGGGACACCATTCCTACCCATCCTGGCTAATAGCCATTGAGGGACCTAACTTCTATGAATCTATCTAGCTCTTTTTTGAACCGTGTTAAAGTTCTGGTCTTCACCACATCCTCTGTCAATTAGTTCCACAGGCTGACTGTGCACTGAATGAAGAAAAACTTGCTTTTGTTTTAAACTTGCTGCCTACTAATTTCATTTGGTGACCCCAAGTTCTTATACTGTGGGAATAAGTAAATAACTTTTCCTTATTCACTTTTTTTACACCAGTCAAGATTTTACAGACCTCCATCATATTCCTCCCTTACTCTTCACTTTTGTAAGCTGAAAAGTACAAGTCTTTTTAATCTCTCTTCATATGGGACCTGTTCCAAACCTCTAATAATTTCTGTTGCTATTCTCTGAACCTTTTTATATACATACCAACAAATTATGCATCACCATAATAAATTACATTATTGTTTTCTATTAATAGCTACAAATATATTGACCACTAACTAGCTTAAGATCAAATATACAATAAGCCAGGGGTGGGAAATAATTTTTTATGGGAGGCCACTCCAAGAATTTGAAAAGTGGTCAAGAGCTGCACTCGTCCATATTAATGGAGGTGGTGTGGGGTCTGGAATGGAGGTTGGGTGCAGAAGAGGTTGGGGCTAGCAGTAAGGCATTGGGGTGCAGGAGGGGGTGTGGGGTCTGGGAGGGAGTTTGGGTGAAGGAGGCAGTTGTGACCTGGGTTAGGGAACTAGGGTGCAGGGGTTTGGGTTGTGGCCGTAGGCAAGAGGGGGTTGTGACCTAGGGAGGGGGCTAGGGTGCAGGAACTGGGAGGAGATATGGAGGAGGAGGAGGAGGGCAGAGGGTTTGGGTTATGTGGGGGAGGGTCAAAGGGTTGGGGTGCCAGAAGCAGGCTCTAGCTGGGAGACTTACCTGCTTGACCCCCTTTCTTAAGTAGACTTCCTGCCTGCCCTAACCCCACACTGGCTGCAGGGGTCATGTGGGTTTTGAATAGCTAGGAGCCTGAGGGGAGAGGGAGAAGGTGTTCACAAGCTAACTGTCGACAGCAGGCAGCTCCCATTCGACAGTTTCTGGCCAATGGGATTGTGCTGGGAGTGGGGCAGCGCATGAAGTCTCTTTCCCCTCCCTGGGACTCACAGCTGTTCAAACAGAGCCCCGCAATGGCTGCATTTCTCGGCAGTGTGCAGGGGGACAGGCAGGGAGTCTGGCTGAGGCTCCCTGTTGTATCCGTGGGCTGGATCTGGTGACTTGCTGGGCTGCATCCGACCCGCAGAGGGTATTTGCCCAGGCCTGCAATAAGCGATGCCATGACCAAGATCAACAAAAGGAAACATATTACCAACATTACATTATACATACAAGTCTAGTTTAAGAAATTTTCCCCTTACCCCTGGCTGTTTCATTTTCTGTAGTGCAAACTTGAGTAAGTATGATAGCTGTTCAATGGTGAGCATTGTCATAGCTTTACTCTGAGTTTCTATGCATTCTGCTACAGTAATTTTCTGCAAATTAAGATTACAAAATATTTAATCAGAAAACATTTCTGGATGACTTTTTCATGACTATTTTACATTAAAATGTCCAATCATTATTGAACTACCTGGTAATAACCATCCCATGAAAATACAACAGTGCTGACAGCATAACATAGCAGATGTAAATTATTCCTCCGAAATTTATTTTATTCAGTGCATAATGTGAACATATCAGAAAACTTTAATAAAGACAAGATTATATTCATATTCTACTGCATTATTATTGAAGTGAATCCATGGAATTCCTCAATGCCCAAATTTGACTGGAATTAGATAATTTTCTTAAAATTATTCATATTCTAAATTCTAACCCAATACTCAAATCAAATCCATATTTGGGATTTATTAATATTGAAAGTTCAATTCCCAAAATCACAGAAAATGTGCAGTTCTATTCCCAAGAATCAGAGAAAATTTAGAGGCAAATGTTTATTTATTTCGCTCAAAAAATAATATTAATACCCACCATTTTGTAGGCGCTATAGAACAATTGTTATTCATTGCCGTAGAGCTGAGCTTCTCACTAAGGGTATGTGTACACTGCAAAGTTAATTCAAAATAACAGCCATTATTTCGAATTAACTTTAATAGTGTCTATACATGCAAACCGCTATTTCAAAATTAATTCAAAATAGTGGAGCACTTACTTTGAATTTGGTAAACCTCATTCTATGAGGAGTAACATCAAATTCGAAATAGCTATTTCGAATTAAGTGCTGTGTAGACACTTAATTCGAAATAGGGGGCCTCCAGCCCTTCCCAGGAAGCCCTTGTGGCTACTCTGGGCACAACCAGGAAAACTTACTCTCCTCTCCCTGAGCTCTGAAGCCATTAAAGGGGTAGACCCTGGTCACAGTGCCTGTGCCAGCTCCAAGCCTGCCAGCCCAGAGCCAGCAGTGGACACCGGGGTGGGGCCCCTGACCCAGTGACCCCAAAATATGAGCCAGCAAGCCACTGGCAGCCAGCACTCCACCGCTCCCCCAGAGCACTCT